ATTCTGTAAACAGATTTCTTTTAATATGAAATAATATTTTATTTTGTCTGTGTTGCATAAGCAGCTTTAATTAAAAAAAAAAAAATGTTATGCTGTGAAGCCAATGCAGCACTCGAGTCAACTACACTTTTGGCACACTCTTACACATCAATACATACATACATATGTATATACTTATTTGTTTAAAAAATTTTATACACAAGAAGTTTAAAAATTAATATACATATAATATGTATGTATGTATGTACGAGTATACCTGACATTGATGACTTCAATGAAATATTGATGATCAACTATTAAGTATGACGTGTTTCAAGGCCGTGCTTGGTTATGCTTGGGTTTTAATTATAAACATAAATTTGTATTTTACGGCACTTAACTTTATTTGATTCATTTGTATGAAAAATTACATAATTTATTTCTTTAATTGCTACTTTAAAGCTAATAATGTGCTTACTTTAATAAGTATAGCTTTTCTATATACGCAAGTATGTATGTATATATTTTTTTACAAAGTACGTGTTTATAAAATTATTAAATTTGTACTTAAAATTATTAAATAAATAAATGACAGTTATATTTTATAATACTATTATAAATGTGTACTCTTGAAGAAAATTCTTCGTGTTCTGTTATATTCTAATGGGTTAATCACTAGACATCTCACAATTACTATATCTTTATACTTTTTTGTATTGTACAGAGGAGGAGAATGAACATTAAAGCATATGTACATCATACTTCAAAGACCCTGAACTGTAATGCTTTTAGCTATGACATAAAATATATATACGTATATATATGTACAAACATATGTATGTATAAATTTGTTGTAAATTAAATAACAAAAACTTCAATTCAGGTTAGGGGATTTCTATTTATTAAAGACGATATAGTCAGACTTAAACAACCTAGTTTCTTGGTGTGTTAGAAATTACATGCCATTGAACCTTATAAAATGTAAAACGATGTGCTTTTCACGTAGATCTGTAGACCCTACTTCATACGTAATACAAAACTTTAGGTTTGAGCAAGTATGCAGTTTTGTTGACTTGGGAGTAACTATGGACAGATGTGTATAAGAGACAGCTTTTTACATCTTTGGTGAGGCCTATATTAGAGTATGCTTCCGTGGTATGGAACCATTGTTATCTAGTTCTTTCTGAGAAAATAGAGTCCGTTCAAAAACAATTTTTACTTTTTGCCTTAAATCATTTGCATTGGGATTCCAGTTTAAATCTTCCCCCTACACTAACCGTTTAAAGCTTATAAATCCCTACACTCGCACTACCTAGTCGTAGGGAAATGCTTGGTATAATATTTCTTGTAAAACTCATCAATGGGTCAGTCTGTAGCCCATCTCTCTTGTCTGATATTAATTTTAACATTCCCGCTCGCTCTACCAATAAAATTTTCGAGAACAAATTTCGGGTTAAACGAACCATTCCGCCGTATATGTCACGATTTCAATTCTCATTCCAGCACATTTGATATAACAGATTCACTCTTTACCATTAAAGAAATTATTTTATCTACTCTTAACAAGTAACATTTAAAAATTATAAACTTTAATCTAATTCTTAGTTTTGGCTTTTGAAATTTTTGCTTCTGTAGCTGAGCAGCTTAAGATCGCAACGCTTAAAACTACCTTGCCTTTTATGACTCGGCTAATTCCGCTCGATCGCGGATTGCGCCCCTCGCGTCGGCTGGGCGGGAGGAGGGTAATCGTTGGGTATTATTATTAGTCGCATAGTACTTAAAATCTTATATTTTTGTTTAAACTACATGTGTATGTATATTTGAAAGTGTGTACAATGTACAAAACAATGCACTTTTTTTTAGTTCATTGACTCAGTGCTCACATGTGCTTGAAGAACTTGAATTGTTTATACATTTGTATATGTATGTACATGCCTACATAATAACATATTTTGTTTCCTTTCTGTGCCTCATTCTCGCATAACTCAATATTGATCACAATAAATTTCACAGATTTATCCCATTTTTGCAAACTTATTTATTTCATTTCGCTTCCTCTTTCTGTAAAATTTTTTGCCGAGGCTCTACTATGGTACTGGTTTTAGAATCCCCAAGTTGAATATTTTTTATACTCTTGCAACATGTTGCTACAAAGTATAATAGTTTTGTTCGCCTAACGGTTGCATGTATCACTTAAATACAATATGTATAAATGGAGAGGATGACGAGACGAGTTGTAATCATTGTCTCTAACATTAGTGAAAATAAATATATTGCAATGAAGCTTATTAGACAAAACGTCATTAATCGAATTAGGTACAAATCGATTGAGAATAACTTAGTACAATTATCGCTTTGATAGCAACCTATTCACGGTTTCGTCGAACCCTTTCGCTACATTTTCCCAATATTGCCAACACCTGAAAATATATAGCCGGCTGGGATCCTTGAAAGAAGCAAAAGTATAAAATGTTCGGTTACATCCCAACTTAACCCTTCCATACTTGTTTTTTTGTTATGAAATCAAAGCACGTTTTATACAGTTAACATGCATGAAGACTTAAAAGTTAACTAGGTGAGAGCATTAGAAGTGAATAGACAAAAGAAAACCTACTAAATACTTGGGAACAAAAACACCTGAACACGAAATATCTGTTAATATTTTAGTTACACGCATACATATTAAGGAAATAACATATATATAGGACCTTACGTGTATCCTTATCAGAGCAGAAAACTCAATTTACTAATATTTATTATTAGTTTAAGACTAATTACATATTTATCTGTAATTACACTACACGTGTTAAGAACACATTCGTAATCCACTGAATTGAAAAAAGATAACAGCTAAGTGCTGTAAATTACAATTTTATTTTAGCAAAAAACATTAAAAGCAATTTTGTTGTTAAGAAAGCAGAAAAGCAAAGATTGCATTGTGATTATTATGTGTCATTACTATTATATAAGCAGGATAGTTAATTAAATCAGTTTAAATTTTAGAGTAAACGAATTTCTCGTTAATCAATTTACATAGTTCATAGCATATACATATATACATATATGAAAGTATCTTAATTACAAGAAGTAAAACACATGTTCCCGTGACATTGACCTTACTGTAAATAAGCGCTAAACACGCCAAACAACCAGAAATCAAAGAGATGCTGACTGTGGGCACTTAGTCAGCTTTGAATCACGCACAACAGGTTTTTAATCTTTTTAAACAAATTTACAAAATTATGTTCACTTTTTCAATATAGTATAGTTGGTAAATAAATTCTGTGTGTGTTTACTAAACTGTAAAAAGGTGTTTTGTGATTTGATATAAAAAGATTTACCTCATAAATAGGCAATTTTTCAGAATTCCATTGCGCTATTCTTTCGGAACTTCTATCCACTACCGTGACCTGTATATCAGGACACTTAAGCGCCATAACCGCACAAGTCGGGCCACCAACGTATCCAGCACCGATACAACACACTTTCATCACAGTTAATGTATCCATTTTAGTTATATATTAAGTTAATTATGCACTATATTTTATACAATTTAAATTTGCAAAAATTGCACGATTTTTAATTGATAAATGCAAACGAAGTTTTCTTATATGCAACAGTGGAACTTTTTTGGCTTTAGTTTTTTTTTTTTGAGGAACGCTCAATTCATTTGTGCACAATAATTACGCGCGTCTGGCGGTTAAACAAATGTTCACACCTTGTTGCTCGTCACAGAATAAAAGAATTAAGCACGAGCATTTTTTATTTATTAATTTTTCCAATTGCCTTTGTGCAGGCGTTTCGTAGTTCTTATCTTAATTTTTTTTGTTGAAAATGACAGCTGCCGGCTCTCTCTTGAAATGAAGTGACTTTTCTCTCATCAACCTAATAGGGTTGCTAATACAGTTCTTTAAAATGTAATAGATTAGTTATATACCGAAAGAATGAACTAAAAATTCATAAATGCTTTAATTGACTTAACAAATTAAAGATTTGCGTATGCAACGCTTTACTGTCTTGTCGTCCCTAAATAAAGCGGCATCGGCAAATTGCTGTCAAAAACTTATCATACGCATAGATTTTATATAACGCATACCTAAATAAATGCAGCGACAGAGCTGAGGTTTGAAAGATTCGTTTAGGACAGAAAGTTAAGAATTTATTTTTGAATTTTTTGGTAATTGCATTCGATGTTTAATGCTTGCACAAATGTATGAAAGTATTATTAATAAATTTATACGCTTTGCTTGTTTTTCTTTTGTACTAATTGTATAATTTAAGTTAGAATTTCATGTAAATTTTCCGCCGTTCAACGCTTCTATTTAGGTATGCCAGTTATATGTTTAGGTTATTGTTGTCATCCAACGGAATAACAAAAAACTTACTCTTTCGGTGGAGTCGGACTATAGGGAGAGCGTTGCCAGATGTGTAAGGTTAGTTCAGCATGCAAAGAGGTGGTTAGAGTCATGCGGGGACTTTTTGCATTTAACCTGCTACAGTATAAAGAACAAAGCTGCACAAGGGTAACTCTCGATTCTCGCCACAACTCGAGCTCGTCGTCTCAAATGCTGGTGGTTTGACTCTAAGTACGTCATTCTTTGTGAGGGAGTCGGTGAAGGTGTTTATGGCAGTCAGCGGATGTCTTAAGTTTGTTGCGCCCGAAGTTTGATCGAGAGACCTCTTGATGTTCCTAGTATCCAGTTCCGCTTCAAGCAGGCGACTGAATCATTCAAGCAAGAAGTACACCCTTAGGTTGTTTACAATTGCTTTGTGTTGTACTTAATGGTTGAAGGGGTGCGAATATTCAAAGGTTTTACGTTTCAGTTATTCATAACGGCTACTGCAATTACGCTTCGGTGGGATTTCAGTATTTGTTATTGTTTAGACAACCAAACAACTTAACGAGGTAACCATGCCAGACCTTCTATACCGGCTATACCAGGTCATGTTTCAATATCATTTTTAACTTTTATTACACAGTAATATTATACACCTTGGGCACAAAAAATTAACAAAATAAAGACAATTTCAAAAAAATGATGTTGAATTTAAATTGAAAAGCATTCTGACAACTTGGGGAAAGTTTTCACATCTATACAAGATTCTACCATATACTACATTTGTAAAAAAATATATACATATTTCTGTGTAAATACATTTATTTTTCTAAAATCTATCTTTCCGCTCACTGATTTGGACGGTGGTCAATATTTTAAAAATTAATATAAAACACTAAAGAAAACAGGAAATGTCTGATCTGTTGGTTGAAGTGAAAAAATTGGAACCGCGCGCTATTTTCGGTGCTAACGGCAAGGTTGAAAATGGAGTCCAGTTGCATCCCGACAAGGTGAGTATGATATACTCGCTTGGCAACAAAATCGGCATCGCGAATACGCTAAATAATAAGCAAGAGTTCTTAAGCGGGCACACACACGCTGTCTCCTGCCTGACCATCAGTAAAAGGTATGGAAGTATAAGAGAAACCTTTATATTTAAATAATATTGTAATTTGCAATATTTCATGATGGTGCGCGGCAGTGGTCAATATTTAGCTTCGGGACAGCGGAATCACATGGGCTTTCCGGCTTACGTGATTATGTGGGATTTCGCCACACGCAAGCAATTGGCTCGTCATGATCTCCACAAGGTTTTGGTACAATCAATTTCCTTTACGGCAGATGAAAAGTGTTTGGTTTCTGTTGGTGGAAAAGATGATGGCACCGTAATTGTGTTGGACACTGAAGCGCGGTAAGTTGCTCGATTAAAGTCATGCTTAATTAGGAGAAAATTATTTATAAACATATGACAAAAAAGTAGAAAATATTTAAGCAACAATTTAGTCGAAACAAATGCTTAGTACTCTTTTTGGAGTCCAAAATTAATCACGTTAGAGGTTTACAGGAAAAGGTTGGCTTTAACTACGTGATACGAGATGTATTCAATGAGTATAAGTCTACAAAAGTATGAGGCAAATTTTAGAAAGATGGAAGTTGGAATTTATTATTAAATTTTAAATATATTGAAAACTCCGCTTTCTGTGGGTCTTTAGGTCTCCGTTGTGGCCATAACTTGATATTTCGATTAAAATTTCTGTCCGCCTTTCTCAAAAATAAGTCGCAGTGAACACAGTAGATGGAGTATACGCAGTAGTTTGAAGCCTAATTCGACCAAAAGGATTAAGGGACAGCGGAGGTGTGAATAAGTGCATTGTCAAGGTTGAAATACCACATTTGTCTTCTTCAGTAATTTAGTATAGTGGAACTGTCTAACCTCGCACTTATGCGAGATGCCTACAGCCTCAGCCAGTTGACGAACCTTCAATTTAGGGTCCGTCATTATATATATTTTTGTCTCGTGTTTCCATGGTACGACTCTCGCGACCGTCGCTCAACATACATCGACATGCAAGAAAAAGAGTCTGCGTACACAGCGCCTGTATAATTTCCCTGTGCGACCTTCCAACAAGAATTGAACCCTCTATGTGTGATAATGGCGCTAACGGGTGGTGAAGCAAGTACTTCTCTGGGACAGATGCATATACATATACTCAAGATCATATTTTCGGGAACTCACACTGATTTTCAAACTATTTCATAAATTTATAAAATTCAATTGAAAGTTAATTTATTTCGCCCTAGCACACCAATATGTCAGACACCGGCCGCTCGTTCAATATCCGGTAACGCACTCACCGTTTGCTCTCTACATAACAGTCCGTCTCATTTTATTGTCGCTGGTGATCGTAAGTGTCCATAGCTCGATGAATTTTCTTTTAAGAATTATGTATTTGATTGATGGTACCCTGTATGTAGGACATCTGCGCATGTGGAGCATTCAGCGTGAGCAGAAGAAACTTCATGTTCATGATATGCACGTGGGCAAACTTCAACGCATCTATACAGGCATGCAAGTGGATGAGAAGGATGAATACCTTTATTTGGGCACAATGACGGGTGATATCGTCAAGGTCGCACTCAAATGCTGCGATCCGGTAAATGTTACGCAGATCGGTATGACTGCATCGATGTTGGGAGCTTTTGGAAAGCACAATCCACGTAAGCCGTACGGCAAGGACTGTGAACGTTATGTCAATGGCGTGCGTCACTTGTGCATTGTGAAGAAGGGACTGATATTGGTGGGCGCCGGCGATGGCACTTTGGAGTTGGTGGAAGAACGGAAGGATGTTACGCTAGAAATGATGAAGAACTATCCCTCTCCAACTTGGCCAATATTTCGAACGGTATAAAATAAAACACCTGTCATTGCATTGCATTTTAGACTTCCTTACTTCATCTCCAGCTCAAGCGCGCCAATGTATATGCTGCGGTGACATCTTTGGTCAGAACCAAAACAACAACCGATGAGTTCATAGTGTCTACCGATCAAAATGAAATATGGTTTCTGAATATTGTCAAATTTTCGTGCAAATTGTTGCGGACATGCCATCGCAAACCAGTTAATCAAATTGTGTTTCCCAAGTAAGATACATATCTGTCTATCTTTATCAAAATTATTAATTACGTCACCGTTGCTTTGACATATGTCATACTAACGAATACATTTGGCAGTTATACGTTGCTTTTAAAATACCATATTTGTTCACAGAAATTTATCGACAGTTTTTGCCTCTGCTGGCTATCAGAGCATAAGAATTTGGTCGATCGGACGTTTACAGGAGATATTACGTATTATGGTCTACAACTTCAAGTGTGTGTCCTTGCAATTCACCAACGATGGTAGCAGCATTGTATCGGCTTGGAATGATGGTGTCATTCGTGCATTTACGCCTATAACGGGACGCTTGATATATGCCATACCGAATGCGCATAATAAAGGTGAGCCTTATGCCGTAGTTTTATGTAGAGGCACTGAAATGTGTTATCAAAACCCATTCAAAGGGTGCTATTTCATTGCGTATCACTCATTTGCTTCATTGTGATTTTCCAATACCTGTGAAAATTATTGTCTGAAGTACTGATTTAATTTCTGTTTTAATGTTCTTTGTCACGCTTTCTTTGAGAGACCCTATTTTCAGTTTTCCAACCAAACTAGACATGGTGTATGTCATATATATATCGGTTCAAAACGAAATTGGTTCGAGCATATTTCTTTTGACGAAGCTATCTTAGCCGCAGGGGCATATACATACATATGGTATCAAGAATGATAAATACCATACTATATTATATTTGCGATCGGTCAAATTTATTTTTAAATAAAATTTTCCACCTCATTTCTTGTATGACGTCACAAACTAATGTATTTTATGGACAAAAGGTCTCTGCAATAAGTAACGGACCCAAACTGTATATGTATCATTCTTGTATTTGGCGTCATTAAAGAAATGGAAAGAGAAGTCGTTTAAAAAGTAAAGGGAATGCTTTTTAAACCTCCTTCATACCCCGATTAGAAAGTCCCCAGAACGGGATCGGAAACTCAGCTTGTTTAAGGATCAACTTTGAAGTATAGGTGAAATAATTAGGGTACGCACAGCTCACTTATCTGATATATTCAGAAGATGTGAAAAAAGCTTCTAATAAAGAGATAATTTTAAAAAATAATATAAGGTAAATGTCTAAAAGCTCCTACAAAGTTTAGCGTTTAGAGCTTTTAAAGTCAGGAAAAAAATGTCCTGTGTATTTGCTTAGATGGATGGTATGATTCTGCTCCATATATTATATATATATATATATATTTATGTCGATTGGTTGCCTTTTTGTTAGCACTTATGTATTTACATTAAAGGTATCCGTTATGACAGAGTTTACAATTTATAGGGTGCAGTGCATTGCGGGTCTCATCGACTGGTCGCTTACTTGTCACCGGTGGTGTTGAGGGGCAAGTACGTGTATGGAAAATTGAACCATACCGACAAAGCTTAATTGGCGTTTTAAAGGATCATTCTGGACCGATATCGTCGCTAGATTTCAATCATTTGGATACTGAAATTATATCCGCCTGTGTGGATGGTTCTTGCGTTATTTGGGATGTAAAGTATGTGAAGTTTCTTAACAACCAACAATAATTAAATATGTTTATTTTGTCCAGTCGCATGACCCGCAAGTTCGTCGTCACCTCTAATACACAGTTTATGTGTGCTCGCTACTTTCCGACCGGTGTTCAATTGCTCGCCTGTGGTTCCGATGGACGCATTAGCTATTGGATGGTTTACAATGGCAGTCTTATACGTGAGCTTCACGGCACAAAAAAGAACTCGATCAACTTTTTGGATATCAATGCGACAGGTGATTACTTTCTAACGGTATCAAGTGATCAAACTGTTAAGGTTGGTGGTGTTTTGAAGATTGTCTTTAATTTTATGTGGGAATATGTGTGTAATGTTTTCGCAGATGTGGGACTATAATCGTGGCATAACGGTTTGTGCCGGTTACGAACACTCATCACCCGTACTCAGCTGTGCTTTTAGTCCGAACGGTCGATTATTTGTTACCGGCAGTGTGGATGGTGCTATTATCATATGGGATGTGCCGCAGGTCAGTCCAAAAAATATGTTTTGGATAATTAAGTTTCAGATTACTAGTGAAAACTAAATCTTCTTCCTCATAGGAGTTCTGGGGTAAGCCCAATCCGCCCCCACAAACAGCGATACCGGAAACCGTAAGCAAAGCCGAAGCAACCGCTCAAACTGCTCCGAAAACCTCAAAGGCTGAAAATATCGACAATCTCTTGAAAAGCTCGGCCAAGGACAATGTTTGTTGCATTGAATGCCCTCCCATTAATATGAAGCAACAACCGGATATCAATTGTGATTATATACCGGATATAAAAAAATGTTAATTTATTTTGTATATTTACTTGACATTTTGATGAAATATATTGTACATATTCGAAAAATAAAGACACACTCGCACTTACTCGTCTTCATAGCCGCTATCAGGCAATGCATTGGTATGTGGGTTGTGAAAAAAAGATTTGGTTCCATCACCCCAACAGAAGGGCTTGTCACGCTTGTATAGATGTGGCCACTTTTTGAATTCTGGACGTTCCGGATGGGTTCTCGTTGTGAGTATCAAAATATTCAGCAATACGACAGCTGGCAAAACGGCGAATAAACAAATTTTTCGGAATGTTCCCGCCGTGCTGGTGCCTGGAATGATAAGTAATGGGTATGTGTACATGCCATATTTATAATCGTCAGAATTTTAGTTACTAAGCTGCGTTAAGATGGAATACTTATTATTAAAGTATAGAAACAAGTTTTTACTATAATAAAAAAAGTTGGTGAGGCAAGTTTACATACCGGAGTACATTTCTAACCTCAAAAATCCTTTAATAGAACCATTCAAATGCTCGGTAGTCTATAAAAGTTATAGAAACCCTCATTTTACACACCTCAAATAACAGAAAAACAGACCATTTGATTAATGCTTTATTTTGACCACTAGCAGGAACTTGGTACTCCTCACCTCGATAAAATCTTGCTCTTTCGAATCGAGTTGTCAAATTTGTATAGTATTTGTAAGCAAAACTTTTTTCTCTTTTGATCATGAATGCACGAAGCAATGTATTCATCGGTCAAATTATTTAAAGGGATGAAAATTTTATTCCCACCGTTAATTATAACAGAGATTCTTCTTTATAATATGATAAGCAGTTTAAAACTCTACTTTTGACGAATTTGATAATTTAATATATTCAGTTTTTACCACCACTAACCGCAATCTACACAATTACAAATATGTTTATAAGAAAATCGCTTTGATATACCTTTTGTTGGGGGCTTTTTCTTTGGTTTGCAACTGGATTCCCTTACAGCGCCGCCCAAAATTTCGGGTTTCTTGTCAGTTGTTGGTACCCCGCCACATCGACTTGCTTTTGCATCTTTTACTCCTTTTTCCCCTTTTTTAGATTCACATAGATCTAATTTTTCTATAGGTGCACATTTTGACTCACCTTTTCCATCTTTAAGGGAGGCGGAGGACGCAACTTTGTTAGGCGGCGCACACTTTGACCCACTCTTCCCAGCTTTAGAAGAGGCGGGGGATCCGCCTTTGATAACGGGCGAACTCTTTGAATCACCTTTTCCATCTTTGGATGGGGCGGAGGATCCACCTTTATTAGACGGCGCACACTTTGAATCACCTTTTCCATCTTTAGAAGATCCACCTTTGCTGGCAGAATGACGTATTGTTTGAGTGAAAGCACGTAATACTGATAATTTTGATATTTGATACATTTTGTTCAAATTTATATTATTGCCCGAAAGTTATTTATGCACAAGATGTATTGAGTAAAGAAACAATTTGAATAAAGAAAAAAAATTGAAGTAAAGCTCCATGTCCACCAAAAAAGAATCATTAACCGCTTGAGAGCCACGCTACTGTATAATGATTGAATGGATACTGAACTACTTGTAGCGCTTTCGTTCCATCGGTAATTGGAGTAGAGGTTTTACTGTAAATTTTTATATGTAATTAATGTATAGTAAAGAAACTTAGAAGGATACAGATGCAATTTTTTTGATTCTAATTGTTATTTAACTCTTCCACCATCGATGGCGATGGAGCAGACGTTCCATTGCGCGACCATGAAGAAGTTCGAATAGCAATTACCCGTATGAAGAACAACAAAGCAGCGGGAGCCGATGAATTACTGGCCGAGAACTGATAAGGAGCATGCATCAGCTTCTTTGCAAAATATGGTCGGACGCAAGCAAGCCCAACGATTGGAATATAAGTTTACTCTCCCCAATTCACAAGAAGGGAGACCCCACAATCTGCGCCAACTACCGTGGGATAAGCCTCCTTAACATCGCGTATAAATTTCTACCGAGCGTATTGTGTGAAAGATTAAAGCCCACCGTCAACAAACTGATTGGACCTTATCAGTGTGGCTTTAGACCTGGAAAATTAACTACCAACCAAGACCCAAAAGACCCGTGAAAGGAGAATCGGCACACACCACCTCTTCGTCGATTTCAAAGCTGCATCCGACAGCACGAAAAGGAGCTGCCTTTATCCCGCTATTGTCTGAATTTGGTATCCGCGGTAATACGGCTATGCAAACTGACTTTGAGCAACACCAAAAGCTCCGTCAGGATCGGGAAGGACCTCTCCGAGCCGTTCGATACCAAACGAGGTTTCACACAACACGATTCCCTATCGGGCGACTTCTTCAACCTGCTTCTGGAGAAAATAGTTCGAGCTGCAGAACTAAATAGAGAAGATACCATCTTCTATAAGACTGCACAGCACAAGGCGACTCCCTATCGTGCGACTTCTTCAACCTGCTTCTGGAGAAAATAGTTCGAGCTGCAGAACTCAATCGAGCAGGTACAATCTTTTATAAGAGTGTATAGCTGCTGGCGTATGCCGATGAAATTGCCTCAACAGCGGCGCTGTTAGTTCTGCTTTCTCCAGACTGGACAAGAAAGCAAAGCAGATGGGTCTGGCAGTGAACGAGGGCAAGACGAAATGTCTCCTGTCATCAAACACACAGTCGTCGCACTCGCKAYTTGGCACTCACGTCACTGTTGACAGTCATAAGTGTGTCGTTGGACAGAATGTGTTTCTCGCGCTTCGCTCAACTTATGGTGAACATAATTGGCCTACTGAGCGTACTATTCGCAACACCATTATCCATCTTGAGACCCAGCATTCAATATTGGATAATAATCGACCGAATAAACCATGCCTAGCACGCAGTAAAGAAAATATAGTAGCCGTAGCTGAGAGTGTTTACGAAGACCGTGAAGAGTAGATTCGGCGCCGTTCGCAGCAACTAGGAGTGACGTACGGAATGGACAATCCCGCTTCGAATCAGGCCGTGATGCAAAACATCAAGCGTGTCATTCGCCAATTACCAGTCGAAATGATCGAACTAGTCATGGAAAATTGAACTCAATGGATGGACCATCTTAGACTTAGCCGCGACCAACATTTGAAAAAAATAAGTGCCAAATAATGTTCTTTCGAATGATAATAAAAAATCCACATTAAATTTGAAGTATCTGTAGTACATATACCATACCGGAAGATACGAGTTAAGGCTGAATTAAAATTTTACCAAGTTACTGAAAGTTTAGAGAAAGAGAGATGCTTCTAAATAGGGATCTTTTCGAACGAATTCGTCGTGTGCAGTGAAATGCTTTGTCTTTCGCAACGCTTCTTAATACCAACGAATTATGGTGATACTGAACTCAGCTGATATTTATAATATCCAGTGAGTACAATCATTTTGAAGGAGTCCATATACTAAACGAGGAAGACCTATGATTCTAAATAGACTCTTGACATTTATAAGGTAAAAGAAAAGGTTTAGAGATTGACTCCTAGAAATAAATCTTCAACATAGCTCTTATGATATAAGCCAGTTTACGAGTACAACTGCACATAAATGGGGTTTGATCATGTGGTTGTACTGTAACAAAAGAAGGGAGACCAGATCGACTTTCAAAGATGAAATTGAACTTGAAGATATTTAGTTTCCATATCTTGAAAAACGAAAAAGAAAACTATTTCGGATGTCCTGTTAGGAATCACGTTGTGTAACGTATGTGAGACTGCTAATAAGTTGGGTAAAACAAAACCCAGACATAAGCCATTTGCTAAACCAATAATTTGAACCGAATCTATGGATTATGTAAGCGATTGTTATTTTATTTAGACTCAAACAAAAGATCCGAGCCCAAATACACTATCCACTAGCCAAACTTGTCTTCCGCTAACAGACCCTACATTGTTTATCTGAAACAGAAATTTACCCAAAGCTCACCTAGAAATGTTGTGTGAATGTTGTCAGAAATTTCCTTGGAAACCATAAATCGAAAAATTACAAAGACCTAATAAATTAACCTATAATGTCATATAAAACTTCAGCGTGTAATATGTCCTTAAAAAATACATATGCTGGAGTCAAATCTGGATTTCTTTCTGGCAAATTTGGGCGCTGTGAGTGGCGAACAAGGCTAGAGGTTTCATCAGGACACTTCCTTAAAAAGTGCTTCTAGAAGCCAAATATTTACGAAAATCATAAGTATTTTTTCTATATTAAGCAATACTTTCTCTAAAAAAATGTGTGTTTAGATGTCACATAAAAACCAAACGTGTCAATTCTTTTTCCATTCACATATTATTGTTTAGTAGTCCTTCTTCATCTTATTCGCCAGTCGTTCTTCCTTTTCACTGCTTGGCGTCAATTGTAGATTCCACGTGTTGCCAATTCTTCTCCACCTCTTCTTTCCAAAGAGGTAGATGTCTTTCGCTTCATCTGCCTACCCCGACGGGTACTGAGTCGAATACTCTCAGAACTGTAGTGTTTTCATCCATTCGGACGACATGACCTATCCAGCCTAGCTGCTGTTTCTTAAATCGCTTGACTATGTCAATGTCTTTGTATATTTCGTAGAGCTCATCATTCCATCGATTGCGATATTTGTCGTTACCAGTTTACACAGTCGTATTACTTTTGCGAGGATACCATAGCCGCAACTTTTTATGCTGTTAAAAGCAGCTTTAAAATCGATGAAGAGATGGTACGTGTACATTCTCTTTTTACGGTTTTTTCTAAGATTTGTTGTTGATTTCTCAGGCCTAAAGTCAAACTAATAAGGTCCAATCAGTTGGTTGACGGTATGCTTTAATCTTTTATACAGTACGCTCGATAGAACTTTATATGCGATGTTGCTACGGTAGCTGACGCAGATTGTGGGGTCTCCCTAGTACATAAAATATAAAAGTTGTTGAGTAGTATTAATAAACCTTTGGAGACACCCATAAGCAGTCACCTCTAGATAATAGTACTAAACTAACAAGCTTATTTTAGTTATTTACCGTTATTTAAACTTTAT